GGTGAGAAATTGTGCTAAGGACAAAAAAGATGCTTTTTAATGTGAAAAACCTCAGAAACTAGAAGTCTAATGCGTTCTCTTCTTAAACAAGCGCAAAGAACATCGCGTACTTCGCAAGTTTATGAGCTTATGACTACAAAAGTGAGGCAGCGTGGTGGAATCAGGCTCTCGTCAATTTTTGGGCACATAGAGTTATTAATATTATCGTAAAGCTTATTCACTTGTCTTTATTTGGATGAAAAAAATATCCCTTTATCTTGAATACAAATCGAGATATTTGCGAAAGAAGGAGGTGGGGGTCACATGTTTTCCGAGGTAAAATTAGTGAGAAAATGGCGGCCAAAAATTACTTATTTTCTTAGCTTAAGAGTCCGTGGTAAATAAAAGTTTACATCTTTTGTGCCTTTAATCGCCGTTTTTCAGAAAAAATCCACACGGAAATGAGTTCTTTAATGGGCATGAAAGGTGTTGAGCCCAAAAACAAAAAATTGATAAAAATTCACAAACCTGCGGAAAAAGGCAAGTTTCTTCACTTTGATTTTTTTGACGAGAGCCTGATTCCACCACGCTGCCTCACAAATGTACTTAAGGCGCATTGGTACATGTACCTTAGATGGTATTTTACTGGACTACGAAGTGGATTGCCCTGGTTCGAATACCCAACGGGACTCTCTGAACTCAGGCTACTAGGGGGAATGTTTCAGAGGCTCTCCACCCATTTAGATCTGCCGCTTTAATAAACTTACAACAGTGTTGAAGAGATAGGTAAACGTATACAATAACCAATTAATTAAAAACGTTGTTGAATATGGCGAAGCCGTGAGAGAGTTCAGACGGTTAAAGCGAAGGCAAGTGCCCTTACGCCTACTGTATTTAATTATACGGGGTGCCCATTGCGGATGTGATTTGGTCGGGTCGGGTCGAGTCGTGTCGGATCTGGTGGATCGCCCGACTCGTCGCTTGAAAACAAACAGCACCCGATCACCCCCCCCCCACCCCCTTTTTCCCCTTTCTTCCCCTTTCTTTAAAACGTGCCGAGATCAGGTGGTATAAATCCATAGATCCATAATTGACTTGCGTTCAATAGTAGCCTATCCGACAGGTTTTTAAAATATATGAATTCAATGAGTGAAAATTAATGAATAATTATGCCCAACACTTTCAATGGCACTAAATTACTACTGCTTTCATTTTATCCACAAACAGTAAATCCGAAACACCCGGCTCACCTTGCCGAGCTTGCGCTGACCTGCCAAGAAGGAAGGTAATTAATCTCGCTTACATTGTGTAGAACCACGGATTGGTCACTGAAATGTAATGCACTCCTGTCTGTCTGTCTGTCTGTCTGTCTGTCTGTCTGTTTGTTTGTCTGTTTGTTTGTTTGTTTATTGATTTATTTATGTGTTTGTCTGTTTGTTTGTCTGTTTATTCGTTGTTATACCGTAATTCGGGTGCCTGTCGTCGCTGTAAGCATAGCATCGATCTTACCCAGTAGCAATACTGTATTGTGGTTGAACAATAAAACAATTAACAGTTACTACATTGTAACACATTACATGTACCACGCAGTTGCTACAATGTTCTTAGTCACCACAAGAAATGTGTATACAACAGTAATGAAAATAATATATTAATTAATATGTACATATATAATCACAAAGTGTTCGACAAAGCCCTACTTACTGTATGAATGTAGTCCTTGGTCTGTTGTTTGAAGCAACCCACGCTGTGAAGGAGTCAACTGATCTGATCGTACGCGGTCGGTGTGTGCCTGTTGTTATACTGCTGAGAATCTGTCAGCAAGCAGTTTCACCACACCGTGTCACCGATAAGGTGTAAAAAAGCGAGGGTATAGAAATAGCCGTCGACGTCACAGTCTGAAGAAGGAAATAAGCTAGTCCGGGTTTTACTCAGATGCTTAATTTAGCCACGTCAAGCTTCGCAGATTTCGATCAATGTTTCCAGATCTCCTTATATAGATATAGCCTGCAGACGCTCGTGAGGGTTAATTACATGTAGAGGCAACACTGGACTAATCATATATTATTAGCATTGTACGAATCTTGTAGTGCCAGACTTGGGCATTAAGTAAAAACTATGAAAGCAAAATCACTGCATGCGAAATGTTAATGTCTCCGCAAAACCCTTAACATCACAAGACGAGACAGGCAGAGAAATGAAAAAGTAGAAGCAACTATTGGCCTTGAATCCTGTCTGCATTTCATAAAAAAAGATGGAGAATAAAGGTTTAGCCACCTGTTACGAATGTCACCTTGCCAGTCAGCCCCGAGAGCTTATAACACAAAGCACTCGGGCTATAAAGGAAGAGAAAGGCCACACAAAAGGTGGATTGAAGGTGTCGAGGAAACTGACAAATCATAATATCCCAAATGAAAGAGCTGCAGAGCTGGCCTACCAACCATAGAAAACTGCATTTCCCTAAAATTTTCTCTCTCTCGTTTCTGTCTGTCTGTCTACCCCCCCTCCCCCACCACTATTA